GGCGTCACGGCGGCAAACAAACACAACGTAAATCGAGCCCAGCTGAGAAACAACACAGCGAGCGAAATTGAAAACGGCTTAAATGCAGCCCCCCCCCCCCCCTCCCCCGGCGAGACCCCAGAAATCCCTTGAAGGGGATGACTACGTGCCTGCCCCTGCCCAAACCCGATCTGTCTTCGTCCAGCCTCATTCCCGACAATCGTCTTCTCGCAGCTCACAAGATCTGCGAGAGGTTTAGGGGGGGCAGTTGACATGGAAGGATAACTAAAGCAGGAGACACAGATGGAATGATATAACAAGGATCACAGGGCATTAGTCCAATCAGCCCTAAGGCGGCATCTGGCAACATTCCGAAGTGGATTCCGCGATCCATGTAGGGTCTTATTCAGAAGTTCGGGAGATATCCTATCCCCTAATTTCACAACCAAACGGCCCGCCTCGCGGAGCCGCGCCGCTGCTCGCCGCGTCTAAACCCCGATACAGGCATCGGGCAGGACTCATCCGACAAAGAAGCACACCCAACAAAAGCAGAAACGCAACACCGACCCTTCTAGCTACGCCAGATGCCGCCGATTAATTATCTGCACCATCACGGGCTCGATGAGCCGACCTGGACATTGACTCGCGACAAGCAATCTCTTCTTGTCGAAATTTCCTCGTCTTCATCCCAGTTCACAGCTTCACATGAGACCGTGTGACCAGTGACCGCATGCGGCCAAGCTGCTCACATAGTGACTTTGCTGGAGGTTCCTGGAACTGGTCGGCACATCGACCGCTTCCTTCACGGCAAGCACCACGGCGGCTTTGACTGCCCGAACGCAGCTATCATCCCAAAGACCAGCCGCCAGCAAACAACAATTGGCAACCGACCTCTTACGTTGCCGTGTGCCTGGTCCTGGACGAACCTTGACTCTGGCTGGATACTTCCGTGATCCGAGCTCTTGTCACGGCCGCTCCACTGATTGCCAATGTCCACAAGCTGCTTGCCACTTTCGAGGACGAGCCCGTGGTTCACGTTCTCTATTGTACACCGAACCGAAGCCTAGAAGATCACAAGAACTGCAGCAAACACACTATACTCAAAGTGGCGCAGCGCTAGCCGTGAATACAAGTGTAAGGTTCGGGGAGTACCCTACCGGGTCGCGCCGAACGACTTCTGTGTTCCACTCGAAGCGCACTCCGAACACGCAACGCCTACGTAGCAGGTGTCGTTAAATCTCCAATCCAAAAGCGAACGCTGAATGCCTGCCAGGAGCAGATCCCGAATCCCGACAGAGACCGCCCGCCCAAAATGATCAAGCAGAATCAATGCAATGCGTCCGAAGCGCAGAAACACCAACTGGATCTCTTCGCGAACAGTGCATAAGAATAACCGACAGGACCACACTCAAAGCCCGCTCCGAACGTTCATAGCAACAGCTATCGGGCGGAGTCAAATATCCATTCCAAGTTCCTCGAAGAAGCCAAACCAAAGGCGAACACTGAATGCCTGCCAGGACCGGATTCCCAATCCCGACAGAAACGACCCACCCAAAATGATCAGGCAGAATCTAGGCAATGAGTGCGAAACGAAGAAGCGCAACCTCGAATCGGCAAGAGCCGAAGGCCCGGATGAAGCCCTCCTGGAACCCTACTTGAAGCCTTTAATATGCCCTGCACGCACAACGAAGCCAAAGTTCATACCTTCCAAGCAACTGCCCCGACCTGCTGGGAAACGCAGATGGCATACCAGACAAACACCTGTGAGTGTGCCGGGAGCAGCTCAGCCAAATGCAATGCGCTTGCTAGCTGCATACGATGCAAACAACGGGGTCTGCAGACTGAAAGTCGAGGCCCTGGATCACTTGCCCAAGACGAAAAAAACCAAAGCTTCCGCAGGAACTGTGTCTGCCCGAAATGAACACCGCGAATACAACGAAGCCTCGCCGAAGACTGCAAGCCTCGAAAGTGATTCCACCAAGAAGCGTTTGCCGAAGAGGAGAAAGGACGTCGGACCCTGAAAGCCAGCATGAGACGACCAAAACCCCGAGTATCTAACACCGCGATCTTGCAATGTCAGAGCAGGTAAAACCCGAATCAAAAGTGCAATCCATACAGTAACGATCAGCAAATGAAATCGCAGTCAATGGAGTAGGTCCGTGAAGTCTCATGACGCAATGTCCTTGTTCAATAACGCGTCGGTCCAAAGGCAGTTTGTCAGAACTCATACCAATGTTCCTGATGACACGCAACGCGCCTCGCAATACGTGCGTGCAAGAATAAATGTAAGATCAGTCGACATCGAACAGCCGCAATCGAACAATTACATGAGCACAATGCTCCAAGGAATGCGCGCGAAAATTCATGAACTGTCACTCCAATCATTACAATCTCGGTCCCTCGGCTGGAGATGGTGACGCATGTGCACAATCCGTGGCAGCGCTCCTGGTACATGCCCGTCTCTTAGTAGTTCTTGAACAATTTTCAAGCAGACGTTCAAAGCAGCATAATTCGTCAAAAGTCGTGACAACAGATCGCAACGCACGTGCTCAATGCAAGCTCGCCTTCTTTGCACAGGTAGTGTTATCGCCACCACCGGGCCCAAATCGGCCGATACGTACAACGCAATGTATTAGGATGCACTCTATTACAATGAGTCGTGGAAGCAAGTCGCATATCGGGGGCAGAGGTAAGGAAACTAAGCAGACATCTGCACGTTGCAATTATTCCGTGGCTTACTGGTCCTACAAGAGCTTCGGGACTAGCAGTACCGCTTGCTTTCAATCTCGCATCTTGCGAGTTCTGCCTCCTTCCAGAACGAAACCTGAAGCAAGGACACAAACTGAAGTCCTTACGTCCCTTCCCAAACGCCAGCTGCAAAGAAACCCGCAGGGGCGGCTTCGGGATGGGGGTAAGAAGATTCCGAAACTGCCAGCACCACCTCCCGCATCGGCCGTCCCTGCCTCGACGAATCGAGCACTGGCCCAGGGCTCGTCGTGCCCAGGAAAGCCTTTCCAACACAGGTGAATCACGACGAGGAAACCGCGAGAAGTGGTTCACAGCGATTTTGCGTCGCACAACGGCCTCCCTTGAAAATCGACGTGACAGTCCTGAGCCGCACATCCGAAACTGCGGTCGATCCAAGACAGCGAAGTAGCCGCAGCCTCGCACTTTGGCAAGACGGCGTCCATGCGGTGCTGCGGCCATGTCTCGTTCAGACAGGCATCTCCATGCGGATGGCACAGTATCTGGATCCGAGGGCTCAAGCTCGATAGATCGTCACGTGTCGTCCACTGAAATAACGCTGTTTGGCGAGACTCCGGAAGTCCACTGAAGGAGGTGACTACGGGCCTCCGCGACGACGGCCGCCACTTGCTGTTCCAAAAAAGGCAGGAGCCCTTCCAAGAGTTGTTGAGCACGCAGCACGGCATTTGGCGTGTGCTCTGTCTCAGTCGCGTTTCTCTTCGCTTGCAGTGGAACCGTCTCTTCGAAGAGCTGTGCCTGCCCCGCCTGACAAGCTTCCTCGGGCAGACTAGGCTGCCGCGGGTTGGACACCTCCGATGGCTCGGGAAGACATGGAGGCAAAGGCGGCAGCGGCAGTCTCGAGCCCGACTCGGCCACCGACTTCTCGTATTGTGCAACCAACGCCGTGTCTGTGCTGTTGTGCCCAGAACTCGAGGCACGACGCCGCTTGCAACTTTTCCGTCGATCGCCGCTGCAGTGCTCGCCCTCTTGTATCCAGCGCAGCAGTAAGTCCAAATAACCACAGCCTCGATGGACGGCGAGCCGTCCGGCGTGGATGCTCTGAGTAAAATTGCAGAGGGAATCTTCGCAAAGAGCTAAATGAGCATCGTCCATTGCAGCCAGCGCATGGGCGACGCATGCCGCGCTTTCTTCCATCACCGGCGTTATCGAGGGCACGTGCTTCCAGCGGCGCAAAAAAGCTCTGGCTTCTCGCAAAAGCTTGTCCGCGCGACATATCTCGGCGAACAGCACATCCAAGCTCAGTCGCTCGTGATGCTCGACGAGACAGTTCAACACTTCTCGAACTTCCCCCAGAAAGTTGCGCTCATAAACTCCTCCCGGCTCCTGAGAGGCCGTGATAGGATTGCTTTCATGATTCGATGCCAGGCTGCCCTTGAGCTTGTTGTGAAAGAAGCAAGCCCTGTAAACGAGATCGGTAAGCTCTTCGTTTGACTGGACAAGAGACTGTTGCAGCAGAGCAGACAAGGTTCTCTGCAGCAGCTCGACGTTTTGCAATGGCCGGCCTCCTTCGCAAGGAAGCAGCAATGCCCGATCTCCGCCACCCAGAGAAGTCGTCTCGGCAGCCTCCATCGCTGGGAGTTCCACGGCCCAGCAGCACCCCGAGCTTTCGCAAGACAGCGTCCACTCGGCGATGCCGCGGAGACCAGCAAAAGGGAAATGCAAATCGAGCCCAGGCTAGGTAACGAAAACAGCAGAATTGGAAGCAACCTCGGAGCGGAGAACATCGGCAAGCCAACCGACTTCAATGCCACCCCCCCTTCAGAGCGATTCTCTTGCTGAGGACAAGACCGATAGACCTCGCGGTGCGAGTCGAGACAGCCTAAGCAGCAACAGCAGCCATGCCAAGCCCTGCAAACCACGATCTGAATCTGGACCCGGACCCCGATGAGAGCAAAGTTCGGCAAGTGCGTTGTGGCATTTGAAGTGAAAGAAATCATTTTGTTTTGGCACAAGCGCAAGCACCACCGCAAAAGATCAGCGCCTCGGGAATGAATGGCCCCAGCCCCGCACTTTCGCAAGACAGCGTCCATGCGATGCCGCGGCCATCCTACGCGAAGCTCAGCGAGCGTTCCTCCACGGCCGCCACATCCAAGTACTGCCTCGTCCAAGCCGCTGTCTAAGCCACGTGGTGGCCGAAGCCCCGCACTTTCGCAAGACAGCGTCCATGCGGTTCCGCGGCCAGCCTACATCTGCGAGGCAGCGGCAACACTTTCCTGCGCAAACGTTGCTCGATGCAAACGCACGTAGGCACTCAGCTAGCGCATGTGCGTAAATGCAAGGGACGTCGCTTGTGCAGCCACGGCTTGGATTTCCTCGTCCGACATCCAAAAACCCCACCACTCCAAGCAATGGCTCCAATGCTCCGTCTTCTTGTGAGGCGAGATGTTATCGTAAGAGCACGCTCTGACCCTCAGGAAAGCAACAAGGCCCCTGGCCACATTGTGCAGCTCGGCCGGCACAAAGCCAAAGTCCTGCTCCTCTGCAGCAGCTGTCGGCTGTACAAAGCACTTCTCCTCGATGAAGTCCTCCAGCTGGAGAACCATGCCATGCTGGGCAAACTTGAACATGCCTCCATCGGTTTTGCTGGATTGCTTTCGCGGCTTCGTTGGAGCATGCCGCTCCCTGCATCCGGCCGGTCGCTGCCCTGTTTCGTTGCAGCGCTCCAGCGGCAGAAGTTGGTGCAGGTTCCGCAGCAATGCCTTCCGCGGATCAAACCAATGCAGAAGACACACGAGCGAGGAAAACAAAACGAACAAAGTAATGTACAGCTTCGAACACTTTCATACTTAGCAAAGCGACCGTCAATGGCTTGTGCCGGTAGCTGGGAATGTCTCGCATCCTCTTGTTCGGTTGCTGGTCGCCATAAGTGATCCCTTCGGCTTCGCGCTCTTCTCGCGTGAGGGGCTTTTCGTCCAGTTTAGTCGTCTTTCGATTGACCCGTCCATGTGTGTCTAGATCATGGATAGGCTTGTTGTAAAAGCCCCTCTGGTCAGCGACGACGGTCACGTCCTTCATCGCCTTCTCCAGGGTTTCCAACGTCAACTTAGGTGCCTCTGCACGCTTTTGAGTCTTGCCAACCACACTCTCGTGCCAGTCCTGCAAAGACTTGGGCCAGCTGTCCCGATTCATTTGATCCCAGTAGACCCGCGCGAGGGAAGCGTTGACATGCATGCACCGACGCACTCTGTGACGCTCCGCATATTTGTCGGTGGGCGTCCATGCGGTACTGCAGACAAGCTCAACCCGAAGAAGCCCGTGCTTGCGCTCGCCCTCCTTAAGCATGTGAGAGACATCCCGTGGTGTCGCCGCCAAGACGTGCGCTTGCACGTGTTGAACCGATTCAATCACCTCGACGTCCTTCTCCTTCACGGTGCACAAGAGCTCTATCGCAGTATCGCCTTCTTCCTTGGGCAGCATCTGGAACATCACCAGTGCACTGCGACCAAGCAACCCCACGCACACGGTGGGTCCCCATTCGCTTAAATCTCGCGATGCATCCATGCGTTGCCTGAGCTCAGCGGCCAGCAAGACACCGCACCTTTGAGTTGCCGAGGTCCGGACATCTTGGCACACTCCGACTCTTCAGTAGGCGGTTCATTCCTGACCGTCGGATATGTTAGCCGTCGACGAGACAGCGCCAGTGCCACGACCCGAGGCCCGCCTCGTGACTCGAGAACCGGACTTCTCGGCAGGCTCCGACTCTTCCCGCGGCGACTCTTTCCACGTCTCCTTCCTGGCCTTCACGCACCTTGGGTTGCGGGCAGGAGCCCCGTTGCACGCCCGTGAAAAGCAAGCACGAGGACGCATGCAGGGTCCTCTGCACAGTTGCTGGCAGGAGCCAACCACTGGCCGCCATCGTCGTGGCCTGAGATCCGGACTTCTCGGCAGGCTCCGACTCTTCCCGCGGCGACTCTTTCCGCGGCTCCTTCCTGGCCTTCACGCACCTTGGGTCGCGGGCAGGAGCCCCGTTGCACACACGTGAAAAGCAAGCACGAGGATGCATGCAGGGTCGTCTGCACAGTTGCTGGCAGGAGCCAACCACTGGCCGCCATCGTCGTGACCTGAGGTCCGGACTTCTTGGCAGGCTCCGACTCTTCCCGCGGCGCCTCTTTCCACGGCTCGTTCCTGGCCTTCACGCACCTTGGGTCGCGGGCGGGAACGCCGTTGCACACACGTGAAAAGCAAGCACGAGGATGCATGCAGGGTCGTCTGCACAGTTGCTGGCGGGAGCCAACCACCGGCCGCCATCGTCGTGACCTGAGGTCCGGACTTCTCGGCAGGCTCCGTCTCCTTCGACGGCTCGTTCCTGGCCGTCGGATTTCTTTCGTTGCACACACATGAAAAGCAAGCACGAGGATCCGTGCAGGGTCCTCTGCTGGGTTGCTGGCAGGAACCAAGGACTGGCCGCCATCGTCTCGACTTGAGGTCCGGACTTCTTGGCAGGCTCCGACTCCTTGCACGGCTCGTTCCTGGCCGTCAGATTTCTTTTGCTTGGCCTAAGCTCGGAATCCAACAAGGAGACGCCGACCGCCACCGTCGTGACTTGAGGCCCGGACTTCTTCGCAGGCTCGGACTCCCCCGTCGGCTGGCTCCTGGCCGTGAGGTCTTGTGCACTAGCTCCTGTTTCCAGCCACAATCCCCAGAACACCTGTCGGCAAACGAAGATGCGGGAGACGTCGAAATCCTCGCGATCAGGACATACGATCAACCGCAAAGCAACGAGCACGAGCAGCCAGCTCTTTCTGCCGAGAAGCCTGAACATGTGCTCTGCAAATGCACGCATTATCTTTTCGTCGATCCTGCAAACTGCGAGTGCAACACACAGTGACACACACACACACACACACACGCAGACACATTTATGAGTTTCATGTCCAGAGAGAACCTGTCCTCGCCCAATACAGTTGTTGACCCCAAAAATTTTCAGCATGTTGGCCCAAGTACCGGCGACACATGTTCTCGAAAAGCGGCACCAGCCATTGCCGCCACGTTTCATGAGTGCCTCCCTTTCCCAGCAGGTCGACTGTTGCCTTGCAAAAGCGCTGCATGATCTTGTACAGCAGCTGGCCATCTTCGCGGGTCGTTTGTTCACTTCTGTTCTCTAGGGCCGCGACGTCCAAGAACTGCAACCGCTCGTAGTTTCCCTCGTCCATGCCGTAGTTGTCAGGTTTGGCATCCCAGAGGGTCCACCCGTTCTCGAAGAATGTGCCGAACATGACGAGCGCGGATGTCCACAGTTTCAGGTGCTCCTCAAGCAACCGATCCGTCATGGGCAGCTGCCAAAGCTGCAACAGTGCCGTCTCCATAGAAAGCCCAACGCGATCGCAGACCATGATGGCGCCTGCGACCTTCGAGTCCCTGGCCCTGGGATCGTCTTCACTCCCTGCCATACGCCAGTCACGGTCGCCCCACAGGTGCACGCCTCCGTAGTAATGGGGCATGCACGGTCGTACTTTGCCACTCCTGTCGTACGCACCCCTGTACATTTTCAGCTCTTGCAGCGGATCGTTTTTCCCCATCCAGTCATTTTTGTTCATGCCCGCATTGGGCACGATCTTCACCGCCAACTTCCAGGTCTCCAAGCCGTAGACCACCTTGTAAGCTCCGGTACCCAAACGGTAGAGCATGTCCTCGATGAAGATGGCACCGCCGCCGGGCACGCGGAACTCGAGCTTGGCTCTGCCTTTCCGCCATCTGATCATTGGGTTTTTCTTGCTGTACCCGTCCATGTCTGCTTGCAGCTCTGCAGCGAACAAATTGGCATTCGAGGGCAAGGAGCGGGCCGCCATAGCCCAGCGGCACACCGAGCTTTCGCAAGACAGCGTCAACCCGGCGGCACCGCGAAGACTAGCGCCACCACAGAAATCGAGCCCGAGCTACGCAGCAGCCCAGCGGCACACCCAGCTTTTGCAAGACAGCGTCCACTGGGGGTCACCGCGAAGGCCAGCGCGACCACAGGAATCGAGCCCGAGCTACGCGGCACGCACAAAAAAAAAGCATGCAAAGGACCGCATGCAGCGAAATTGAAAGCGCATCGAATGCAACCCTCATCAAAGCGATCGTCTTACTGAGGACAAGACCGGTAGTTCTCGCGCTGCGAATCGAAGCAGCCTAAGCACTAGCAGCAATGACAAGTGCAAGGTTTTGCTCG